ACCCATCGTCTTGTCCATTTTGGAAAATTTTAAATTTTGGGTCTTTAGTATTTTTTTTTCCATTAGTATTAGTCATCTTTTAATGTTTTCAACTCTAATAAACAGGATTTGAAGAATAAAAAAACTTTAAATTCATCAAGTTTAGATGCCAATTTAATGAGAAAGCACTCGACCAAGCTCTCCAAATGAATTGTTGGGGGCCCTTCCTCAAACTGCAGACTGGTCTTTGGAAGGCCTCCCAAGAGCCAAGCCACAGCCACTGGTCAGCACAACACCCCTGCCTCCTCCTTGCTATCACACCCTACACTCAGTGATAGGGTGAGTCAGTGATACTACTGACTTCTCCCTAGCAGGGCTTCTCCCTTCTTGGGAAGAAACAAAAACAAGAGGTTTCTGTGTCTTTCTATCTCAATGACCTTATCTTTCTTCTTGGTCAAAAATGTTTCATGAGGATGACCTGGTTTGGGAAGAGCTTTAGACTATGAACAGAGAGTTCTGTAAGCCAAGCGTTTAGTCTACACTAATTGCAATGTATAATATCAGGATTTATCACTTTAAAAATTGACATGAGGACGGGGCGGTTGCTCACATCTGCAATCCCAGCACTTTGGGAGGCCAAGGCCGGTGGATCACCTGAGGTCAGGAGTTTAAAATCAGCCTGACCAACATGGCAAAACCCCATCTCTAGTAAAAATACAAAAATCAGCCGGGCACGGTGGTAGTCACCTGTAATCCCAGCTACTCGGGAGGCTGAGGCAGGAGAATCGCTTGAATCCAGGAGGTGGAGGTTGCAGTGAGCTGAGACTGCGCCACTACACTCCAGCCTGGGAAACAGAGTGAGACTCCATCTCGAGAAATAAATAAATAAATAAATAAAATAAAAATTGACACGAATTCCCTATATTTGCCAATGTATCCAACTTTTCCAGCAAGTTAAAAAGAAAACTGTTTAATGTTAAAGAGTGGGCTGAATTTAAATATTGTGTTAAGCAAACCTGTGCTTCTGGATAATATAGACAAGGTTTCCCTTATCTTCCCAAATAAATGAGGGATAATGGAAGAAAATAACATTAAAGAGGTATAGTTGTGCTTTTTTCCCCAACAATGAATGAGAGATGTACAACAAATTGGCAAGATAATCTCACTAAGAATCTTTAATTTTATCTTCCCTTTTTTAAAACAAAAAAGATTTCTTATAATGCTAGCATGAAGTATAAATAGGTATGGTTCTATACAAAATCAAAGTTGCATTCCTTTGGTTCCATTTCTCGAGTAACAAGCTGAATAAATTGGGATAGTACTCATCTTTCTGATAACAAATGAAAGGATGTGTATATTATATCAGTTAATGGATATACACAATGTTTTTCTTAATTCTAAAATGCTGCCTATAGAACTGCAGAAACACTGAAACTAATACAGCACTCAACTTATTTCTTAGAACAATATAGTAATATTGTTCCTGTGAGAAGCCCTTTTTTAGGTCTTTCTGCTCTGTTCTTCGGATGTATACAGGATATAAATAAAGTTTATGACCAAATTGCACCACTTGTTTAGATAAGCAGGATTCACACAATTACATTCACCATTCCTTAGAGAGGACCCATTACCATGGGCATATATAGTATTCACTATAAATGCATTTAGAATTAGTCTTTGGCTTAGTATGTGCTAACCAAATTCAGAAATATAAAATAAAATTTGCATAAACATTAAAGGGAAAAAAAGAAGAACGATACGATGAATTGTGATGACCTATCTGGCTTTCTTCTTTGAAATGCAGATACTCCACCAAAAACCTCTTTACGGTCAAATGGCCCCCTGGCCCCCGTTAGTTTCCAGGCTCTCCCATGAAGGGTGGCTAAAAGTTAAGTTTGAGTACCTTAGCTTAGAAGATAGTTCATTCAATTCCAAATGCATTTCTTGACATGATAAAAAAAAAACAAAAAAACACACGAAGTAAAAAATGACTAAGGTGTTCACGAAGCAATATGATCAGTAGAATATCTAGGGATGGTGGATAGGGAGTTGATTTTAAACTAAACACCAACCAAAAACCTATATTAGTGTTTCGTGTGTACATGTGTAAATGTACCTTTCATTTCACTTATTTTTAAATAAGTAAAAGAGATAAAATTTTACTTTTATCCAAAGATTTATCTTTGCCTAAAAATTATTTCTTCTTTTAAACAGAACTTTTATGCTGGTCTACCGTCATCAAGTGCTTCACGTTAAAAAAAAAGCAGAATCTCCTAATCCCAAATTGAGTAGAAAATATAGACAGGGCAGGGAATAAAAGACCATTGTATTGACATTTAAAGCTTAGTATCTTTTCTAATATTGAAGTCTGTTGGTGAATTTTGTTTGGGGAAGAGATCATTTTCTAAACTATATGTGGGGGAAAAAAAACCCAAATAGCCTTTCCTTGCCCTTTCTCTTAACGCACTGAGCTTGAGTCCCTTGGGACTCCACACTTCCTTTGGTAGCAATTTTGAGAAATTAATGCTATAACTTCTAATCCAGTATAGTGGGTATCAGCATTTCCCTCCCTGAATCCTTCTTTCTAAGTTTCACCACTCCCAAGGGAGGGACTCATTACTATGGGCAGCTACAGCATTACTGATAGCCCTCAAATCATTTGCACGGACTAAATGTCAAGTTAAGATAGAAGAATAAATTTAACTACAACAGAGAAAAAGTAGATGGAGAGGGAAAGGAGAGAAATTAGTAATTGACATTGTCATTCTATTTACACACCAACCTAATAAACTAAACATCAAGTGTTAATGTCTGCCCAGAGGATATTACAGTTTACCAACATAAAAGATTAAAAACAAGCAGCAACTTTTATATAAAATTAACAAAGACAAATGAAAAAGAAATTGTCAGTAGCATCTATCTCCTCGATGTGTCTGAACTGCACGTTATAAACTAGTCCATTAGTACAGCAGCTTGCTAAAAATTGACTTTGGTTCAAGCTTAGTTAAAAAAACAAAATAAAACATAAAAAACACATAACACAAAAGGGTGAATGGATATTTGTTAGTTTCCCTGCTTGCAGTTCACTGATTTTGGAAGGATTTTAGGGAAGGTGAAGGGTAAGAGGAGGAAATTTAGGGGTGGTAATTAAATACTTTGTGAAATAAAACAAGATAGAAAAAATACTAAAAAAAAAATTTAAAGGGAACTAAAATGTTTCTGACCTTTTAACAGACTGTCTCCCACTTGAATCACACACAAAGTACACATTGTGCCTGTATTTACTGCCTTTCTGGACAATGGTAGAGAAAAAAATACACAGAATCCAAGCTCCCTTGTAGACACAAACAAAGCCATCAGAACAAAAGTCACCTGCAAGTTCTCTCTACATCCCCAGCTCAAAAGGGAGAAAAAGTGCAGTCTTGGGACCACCACAGATTTAAGCAAGCACCCACAGACACCAAATGGGAACCTTTGTCTCCAAAAAGAGGGGGAACTTAGATGAACTGCACTGCAGTGATCCAGTCTTTTGGAAATTTTTTTTTGATACAGATGGCATAACAACAGTACACTGACAAAGAGGGGAATTTAATCTCCAAGTTACCCTTATTCCTCTTCATCCACTTTCACAAGCTCTTCCTTTTCAATGGGCTCATTTATATAGTCTAGAAACACCCTGAAAATAATTACAGGAGCTAATCACTTTCTACTTTGAATAAAGAGATGTGTATTGCCATTTAGCCCTACCTAGCAGGAGCGTCACGAACAAACCAAGGAGACACTTAAGGTATGTGCAAAGTTCCTGCTCAAAGTCCTTCTTCAAAGGTTCTACAGATCCCAGCCTGGCTAGTAAGTGCCTCCTTTAGTTAGAGAACCAAGAGGAATCTCAGGGTTAGAGGAATTTATAAGCCATCCAGTAGAAAGAAGTCTGTGGCTCTCTAGAGGAAAAAGTGGTAACTTTTGACTCTTCTCATCACACCTCTTTTGTATATATTATTGATGGAAAAGAAGGGAAAAGTTTCCCAATTTCAATAAATCAGTTTTTTTCTTGGCCAAGTTAAAGAAAGTTTGGATGAAAAACTTCCACAAAATGGAACAAACAAACAAACACACCAACAGTAGGAGCATTTTTTCAGGAGATAAGAAATCAGGAGAACCACCAAGTCAGGTGTCTGCAGTAGTCTTTGCTCTTCGGAACCAAATCCTGCCCTGCAACATGTACGGCTGTTCCCATTGAAAGTAGCAGAAAGCAGCACTGTTGCACCACAGGATCTGGGCCTCAGGGTCATTCAATGATTTGGGGGTGAGTGAGAGCTACAATTCAGCAGGAATTCCTTCCTACACAAAAGTGCTCCAAAGGCACCACCTGATGTGGGGAGGGGAAGGGGCGTGTGTGGAATGGGAGTGTTTGCACACACTGCCTTCAGCTTCTGCACCAAGCCTCTTGCATAAGTGGCAAAAGAAAATAATTTTCTAGCACCTCTGTAAGAGTCATCAAGGATAAGGAAACCAGCAAGAACATTCCCCGCAGTTAAGAACAGAAGTCTCCCCTTACCCTAAAACCCTCCCTCCCCACAGTGTGGGAGCTCACTGAAATAGGATCCAGGAGCGAGAGATAATAAACATGTCCAAACTATATATATATATATATATATATATACACACACACACATATATATATATATATATATAAAACAATAACAACAACAACAACAGTAATAATAGAGATACAGTAATACAGGCCTGCCTAAATTGTACCAGTTAAGAAAGGAACCCCCAACACAATTGATACGATTATAAACACCTTGTTATGACTTAATGGCCTGTACAACAGACCCATAAAAATGATTTTGTTTTTTTAAGAAAAAAGAAATTTAGACAAACAAGAAATCCCCTTCCTATACTGGAATTGGTAACTCACCTTAACTTGTCATCATGACTGCTGGAAATGATAAGTAGTCCTTTCACTTATTTTTGTTTGTTTTTGATTTTTT